GTATCAGGGGGTTCTTAAAGGGAAAAATACATTAGCCTCAGGAGACAGCAAACATTAAGGCCTATTTATAAGCAGCATAAGTTAATACAAAACCCCAGATACGAGGAAAAGTTTGAAATAATCCTGCATATATGCATTTATTTTGTGGGAGCAGAATAGGAATTTGTCCTTCTAACACAGAGGATACAAATGTATTTACAGGAAAAGAGGTCCTTTCAGCCTCTTAGTGTCTAACCAAAACCAAGGTTATTGATGTAACACCTAATTTCAGTTCTGTGTGCTCTAAACTTAATCCAGCAAGATAATGAGCTGTTCCTGGAGTGCTAGTGAACACTTAATTGCCAGTGGAATCAAGAGGACTTGAAGGCAATCAGTACCTTGCAGAATTGAGCTTTCTAAACCCAATACTTACATACAGCTGTTCATAAACTGATGGTTGTACATGGAATATTTTGTGGCAGCAGCTACATTTTTCATCTGGCTGCATTATAATTATGCACACAAATATAATTGGATTTAAACAGTGACTGAATTTAATGTACGCCTTGCAGATGATGTACAAAAATCATCTTATTTGGAAGGAGGAGAAGACTAGACAGATAAAAATATCTACTTAATAAGCAACGTTAAACCCAATTTTACTTTCAAATAACGCTCACTCTTTTTGTATGTGATTCCATATTATTATCTCTTTGTTGATGTGCCATAAATTATTCTTTTTATTTTTATGATGTTTAGACATACAGGTTACAGTCAATTCTTCTCCTTCAGATGAATTAAATGGGGAGGGGAAACACTAGTTTCCAAGGTATTTTTCAAACACTAAGCTCTGAAGCCTACAAAGGGTGCTTTGGGGCTTATTGTTAACATCTTCTCCTGCCAATTTTTCCTGCAATCTGTTTTGGCAATTTGAAAGTGTAGTTTATGTTTGAACAAGTAAACAAGATTAGCAAATGTGCCAATAGATTCCATATAAGGAATTGTTACTCAAATGTATGATGACAGCCAGGTTCTAATCTCAGATGCACACCAAACAAGCACAATCTGATCATGATTTCTTTTTTCCTTTCAACATGGAGAGAGGACATGCACGTGTCAAACCTGAGATGGAACACTATCTCCTATTCTAAGTATCTTTTGAGGGACAGTGCGGGGAGGGAAA